CAAACAAACACCACACACCAAAACCATAATGCTTGTTTTTTATTTTCCTGCCCTCAAACCCCACACATTTACATGTTGCAAACAAACACATACAAGCTTATCCTCTTGAAAAAGTTGCCATGTAGGTCAAGGCAAAAAGAGAAAGAGAATCTATCAGGTAAATAATACTAGGTCGATCTTTGTCAGCACAAGGGGAACATTAATAAAATCAGTTTTAAGTTCACCAGTGTACAGAGACTTTTTCTGTACAAAATTACAATTACTTTCAAGGGATGAAAAATCAGAAAGATGACAATATTTTTGGTCTTAGCAAGCACAGTGCAGTTTAGATCAGAATACATAGCAGCAGTTCAGGCAACAAAAAGGAAAAATCTGAAGTTCATAAATGCGTAATTGAAAGGACAGGGTTTTAGCTATCCCATGACTTTGTGTACATTGGTTATTAACACACTTGAGCCTACGATGGGGAAAGAAACGTTTCCTCTGATCATGCAAGGCAAATGATGGGAAGTAAAGAGCATATACAGGTGAAACATTAGTCTTAGGAGCTAAAAAACAAGCAAATCATGATGAATGCATGAAAGCCAAATAACCTGAGAAAATGTGGATCAACAGGAAACTTCTTTGGGATTACATTATTTCCGTGACTTGAGAAACCTCATCAAATCACTTAATCAGCAAGAAAGGAGTTATAAAGGGTCAGGAGCCAAGGATGTGGCCACTCACTCTCTATCCTGGTGAGACCAGCCATGCACCTTCCTCTCATGCCAGTTCTACTGTGAGGGGTGGGGTGTGTGTTAGAGAAAAGGAGAGTTCTGACGCTTGGGGGAAAAAAAAGCCTGAAAACTTCCACCCAGGTAAAATGAAAGAAATGCCAGATATATGGTAATCAGAATATACAGATTACTAAGAAGTAGGTATATTGAATGACAATTTGGGCTCGATTCCTATTGTTGATTACATTATAAACATGCACTGTCAGACACTGCTATACATGAATAAAAGTCATGGTGTATTATAGCAATTACCGAGAATATATTCCTATGATATAATTTGCAAAACCCTCATTCTCAGAAGAGGAAATACATGCTATAAGATTCTATGGTTTCAGAACTAATCACAGTAATATCCAAGACACAGAAGATATACAAGCGTTGGAAGACTGATGACACAGGGCAGGATTTTGTATTCTCATTAGAACCTGACAACAGGTGTTCTAAGAACCCTACGATACTAACTCTAAGAGACCCAGAAACTATCTCAGGAGGAAAATCATGAGGAGTCAACTCAAAGGGACCGAATTAAGCTTAGCCTGAGGTTGACCTCCTAAACCAATAGCTTTACAAAAAAGTGTTGGCTAAGGCAAGAATGCATCAAGGAATGACCAATACAAGTGATTCCGGTTTGATAAGGAGAAGCTAGTAAGAAAACTGAGCGGAAACATACTGGGTCCAGATAGATGCCCCACTTCTGAGTGAGAAAGAGGAAGCAACACAATTTCATCTTAAGCATGTGACTAAGACTAGGTGCTTTACATTCTATGATATGGAGCATATTAACCATATAAAAAGCAAAGCCAAACCCAAAATAGGTTCATTTCACTATGGTAGTACAGGTTTTCCTGTAAAGAACTTTAATATAGCATTACTACTCATAAGATATGGGCAAAAATAACACATGCTTTGCAGACCTTGACATGCAATTTATTTATAGCCTGGCATAGTTTATGATTTTACAACAAGGAAGCATTAAATTATAAAGATATGAAGAGAAATGAAGACCATTCAGAAGGAGGTAACAGACAAATGTTCCAAGATTTTGGGATAAAAGAGTTACTCTAACTAAGCAATAAATCTAAGTTTGAGTTTCTTAGCTACATAGAAGACATTATCCCAAGAGAGGAGCGTGAACGATTTGCTCTATCTTGCTCTTTAAAGCTGCTGTTTGTGTAAATTTAATGTGCCTCACAAAAGTGACACTATCAACATTACTGCAAAGTAACTCACATACTTCATAGACTGAGATCATCAAATATTTAAGATTCTACTTAGTTTGGTTCAGATAGTTGGCATGCCACTAAAGGCAAGGAAACTAATGAATGCTATTTCTATCACTGAATTAACATGCTTGGGTTTGATCAAGATCCCTTGCTGGCCATGAGTCAGTGAAAATATGTTTGGATTTCCACATCAGAACCCCCTGCGTTCACATGCTACTATTTAAAAATAAAGTCCTCAGTTAACAGAACATTAAATATCAGCAAACATTTCAGCAATTAAAAAAAATTCTTCTTATGTATGGGCAGAATAACCTTTCAATGTACATTAAAATTGCAGTTTAATATGTACAGCTCTTCAGCAGATATATTTCAAGACAATCCTGAATTACTTGCTAAAAGAACACCTTTCAAAGGGCTTCCCAAGACATATACCAGATTTGAACCTCTCATACAGCATTACCAATATACTTTTGTTTTTGTGATTTTTACATTTAGAGGGAAATAATAAAATGAAAAGTGCATCTGTTTTAAATTGTCATGTTAAATTGCAAAAATTTGGGTCACATACACAAGTGATGTTTTCTAATACTAAGTTGAACCATATAAAAGTTGTCACTATGCAAGTGGTTTGATACATGAAAGCAATGTCACGTGGTTCAACAGAACAGGAAAAGGAGTCGGGACTAGTGCTTTCCCTTGATTGAAATTATTTCAAACAGTCATTTTTTCATGAGATGCTTTACTTGTAAAACCTCTAGAAATTTTGAGGTGTTAATAATTAAAAATGAGTTTCCCATTAAAATACATAAAACCAAGACCTTCTTAAATGTAAGGCGCTCAGGTATTACTGTGCCTTCCGATTTAAGTAAGGACTAAGCGTTTCAAAATAAGGTCAGACATTCTATACTCACATGTTTGAAACAGGTAACTGGAGCTGCTATAAAGCTATTGCTATTGATGTAGTTCCCCCAGCTGAAACCTTCCATGGAGATGGCTACGGAAACAAAAGGAATTTAGATGTATTACAGCTCTTATTTGTAAGAAGGCTTTTATTTGCAAGAAGGTTATTTAGTCCCTTGGTGGTGCAAAGGTTTATGTATTTGTCTGCTAATTGAAACTGGCAGTTCGAGTCCACCCAAAGGTACCATGGAGGGGTGATCTGCTTTCAAAAAAAAATCCTTTGGAAGAGTTTATTTTGTTTTTGTTTTTTTTATTTTTAATTTTTATTTATTTATTTATTTTAAAGCATTTTTATTAGGGGCTCATACAACTGTTATCGCAATCCATACACACATCAATTGTGTAAAGCGCAATTGTACATCATTCTCAAAACATTTTCTCTCCACTTAAACCCCCGACATTAGGTCCTCAGGAAGAGTTTATTTTGAAATGAGGACCTAAGTGGAGAGGAAATGTTTTGAGAATGATGAGGGCAATGAATGTACAAATGCGCGTTACACAATTGATGTACGTATGGATTGTGATAAGAGTTGTATGAGCCCCTAATAAAATGATAAAAAAAAAAAAAAGAGTTTATTTTGTTTTTAAAGACCGAAGAACTTTCATATATAAACATGAGCTTAGCATGTCCTGTTTGTGAACAAAATGCAGTTTCAGTCTTCTATACACAATACGCGCTCTGTGGGAAGGACAAGCCCTCCAGGTATGAGATGCAGCAGAGGGCTGAAAGCAGATGCACGCAAAGGGATCATCCCTGCTATGGCTGCTTTTGCTCTCTTCCCACCTCTGTGAGGGACTTCATCTGGTTATCAACCACCTACCTTCTCCACTAGGATTTGCAATAGCCTCAGCCCCTACGTACTTTCTTGCTTTTGTACTTTTTAAGAATTTCCCGGTGGATACAACCCTTTCTTCAATCTCTTTCTTTTATTACTCTATCTATTTTCCCCAACCCCTCTAAGTCCCACAACCTTTATATTGTTCTCTACTTCCACAAAGATATTCAGCACTTGAGAATGAATAAATATCTATATTAAAGAGATTTCCAATTAAGGACTACAATTTGAGAATGCACATATTTTCTTCTAGGACAATTTACTTAAACTAACCACCAACCACCACCACCACCAGGCAGTCGAGTATTATAATGTATTAACAGGGCACTAATAATAGCTTAATTAAATAACCCCCCAAATTAAAATGTCACTAATTAAAACCTGATACGAAAACAGTATCAAATTATTTTTTAATTACAGTCCCCCATATTTATTACCTGCTTTTGTCTTTGCTTGACTTTGCAAGGTGGCTTGATACTGAGCATATGCAGCTAGTTTAGCTACTAAAGGTTGCTTCTGGAGAACTTTTGCTTTCTTTGTTGGAGGCTTACCCTAAAACAAGACGAGTTAAGTAAATAGGATTCTTTTTACCACCCCCTCCCCACCCACCATTATAATTAACTTGACTGCATACTACTCATTCTGCTTAAGTAAACATGGAGGGTTTAGAAAATTATTGAAGCAGAGAAAAACATACAAGGAATTTTAATGTGAAATTTTTTCTGAGCTCTGCTACAATGTACATATCTAACATGGGTAGCAGAGCTGGCACAGACTAAAACAGCAATATGCAAATTAATATGTTAATAAAAAATGACATCCCATAGATGTTAAGATATAGGCTGTGGTGGGTACTCGATTTTTTCTTATAGTAGATAAAACCAGTGGTTATTCACTCATGCAGGTTGCCAAGCATTGCTATTTATATGGTAAGAGAAGGTAATTTAATGTTCAAAGAGCAAGTGACCGAGGTGTATACCTTTAGTGCTAACGCAAAAGATCAATGACAAAATGATCATGGGCCAAATTCACAGTGTGACAAACTGCCATCCATTTGGGTACAGACCATTGCTCAGGATCTTTAGGTACTGTCTCTCTGAAATATAGAAATACATCTGAGTGATGTATTTCCTTAACTGGAGGGATTTAAATAACCCTCGGAGTGCTATGTAATGATCACAGTCATAAGTTAAGGGAGATTAAGAAACATGTGATCACTCAAATAAAGTATGACAAAAATCAATGAATGTTACACCTTCACAGTTGTTTACATGCTGCCACAGTAACAACTTAAGTAAAACAGTCAAGTTTTCTGGCATTTTACAGGTACTGATGTACATTGA